GCCCTCCTTCCACACAGGCACCTTCAGCAAACTCAACCTCGAGAAGCCTGACCTCTACCTCAACCACCTCAAGAGGGTGCTCCCAACCTTTCAGCTTAGCGACGTGAGTTTGGCTATTCCTGGGTTGCACTGTCCTGTAATCTCCCTGGCCCTCTTCTAGTCCCCGGGCTTGCCAACCCTGTTCCCTCCACACCCTCACCTTCACCCGGCCTCGTGACACCTATCCCCCCATTTCCATCCCTCCAACACAGCTCCCAGAGGTGGGAGAGCTGGGCGCAGGCGCCTTTGGCCATGTGGTGAAGGTGCAGCTGCCATGGGGGCCCGATGGAATCCCGCGCTTTGGCGCCCTGAAGCTGCGCGTGGGCAAGAAGACGCCGGAGGAGATCGAGGCGGCCGTCGCCTGCGAGGTGCATGGGCACCGCGTGTGCGCCGCCGCCGGCACCGTCCCCCTGCTGGGCCTGGTTCTGTCCGGGGAGAGGGCAGTAGGCGTGCTCACCGAGCCCTGCGACAGCGACATGGGCACCTTCTTCAGGTGAGGGTTTTGTTCGAGGTGGGGTGGTGGTGGATGGGCAGGGGTAGATGGTCATGTGTGTGCGGGCAAGGCCTGGTGACTGATTTAATCATGCTGTGCATCACCGTTGCCTAGCTGCATGGCACTCCCAGCCGGCCCGCCCCTCCAGGCTGCCAGGCGTCCACGCACTTTCGCACACGCTCGCCGTCCTATGACGCATTCTCACCCCCAAAACAACACTCTTCGCCCACAGCGGCAAGACCAAGCCTGACGATGTCACCATGGTCTCCACCTGCCGCCTCCTCGCCGAGCGCATCGACGCGTTGCACGCTGAGGGGGTGAGTGTCCGCATGCCTGGGTGGGAAGGGGGCATCACCTGGAAAGTGAACGCTGGGAGCGTCTGGTGTCCTGAGCACAACACCAACACTGCCCGTCTTCCGCCCGATGCAGCATCCTCCCGCTCTCCTCCCCCTTGCCCAACACCTACACCAATCTTGTCTGCCGCCAAAAACTTGCCCCTGCCCTCATCCCCGCCGTTCACTCCTCCAACCTCACCCTCCTCTGTCATCGCCGCATGGCGCAGGTTGCGCATATGGACCTGAAGCTGGGTAACGTGCTGTACAAGCGCACCCCCGCCGGCCCCATCTTCTACATTGGAGACCTTGACGGCGTGGCCAAGCTGGAGCCGG